GACCAGATCCGCACCAACTGGAAGGCGTCAAAGGCAGACAGCCCGTGCTTGCGGAGCGCCAGGAGTTCCCGGAAGTAGCGGTCCTGCTTCTGGAGGAAGGCCTCGCCGCAGGGGAGTGGCATGGCGGCGCCCGGGGCGACCCCGGCACCGCCAGCCGGCGCGAGGCCGCCCGCGTCGAGGTCCTCCGGGGCGGCAAAGTCCGTGAGCCGGACGCCCCGCCAGTCAGCATCCACGTCGTGGTTTGTGTAAGCCAGAGTAGACCCCACTGCCTTGAGCTTCGGGACGCGGCACTGGGCGTACTCCGCGAACTCCGGCGGCAGGACAGCGCGAGGGTCCGGGGACCAGATCTGGGTCTTGGACATCTTCAGCTTCATCCCATGGGCTTCGACGCGGGCTCGCCAGGCATCCAAGCCGCGGAACACAGCAGCCGCAGTGCCCACGAAGTACGTGTCGTCCAAGAACGCCAGGCAGTCCCCCTCAACGTCCACCGCGCGCACGGCCGTGCGACCGATGCTGAGGCCATCCGCAGTGCCGACCGCGTAGAAGCCAGGGCTCATAGGGCAGCCCTGATCGAGGCCGCGGATCTGATCGACCAGCTGGGCAGGTTGGGACCCACCACCCGCCGCGCGTCGTGTGCGAGAAGGGAGCCGGGCCTCCGCCAGCGGCGCCAGGGCGGGCACCTTGGAGCGCACGGCCTCCTTAACGAGGTCACGGGGGATGTTGCTGAACGCATCCCCGAGGTCCACCGCCACCACCCACTTGCCAGGGCTCGAATTGGCCATCGCACAGAGGCGTCGATGGAAGGCACCGCAGCCGCCCTTAGCCAGGCCGAACTGTTGATCCCCCACCGCCGCCCGCATGTCCAGGTGATTGACCTTGGCCGCGCTGCGGCCAACCATGCGGCGGGTGACATTCCCACAGCCCAGGACTCGCACGTCCCCAGGGGTGGCCTTGGGGATGCCTGCGAGGCGCGCCGCGGTCAGGGCGGCTAGAGCTTCGTGAGGAAGGTCACCGATGGCCAAGCGCGCCAGCGCGTTGGCTACCGCTTCCGCTCCGTCTTCGTCGTGCTTGAGCGGAGCCCAGTGCTCGTAGCGGCCGCCTCCAGGTCCCGCACCGCCACGGCGGGGGAAGCGACCAAACTGGCGCTCGAAGTGGTTGGCCACGCGGCGGCGTAGCTCTGACGCGCCGAGGAGCTCGTGAGGGAGCGTGGCTGGCGGCATCGCCACGTCGGCCTCCGCCGCGGGGGCCCCCCCCCCTGGCCCATGCGGGGCGGCCCCAGTGCCAGGGGGAGGGCCCCGTTCGCCTGGGTGAGGCGCCGCAGGCTGCTGGGCGGCGCTAAACTTCCGAACCACCGCCGCCGCATCCGCCATATCACCCTGGGGCCACACTGCCGCTGCCGTCCGAGACATTTCGCCCGCTTGCGCGAGCTCGGTGGCACGGCGAACGCGGGCCGCGACGTGGTCTTCGCGGCCCTTCGCGGTGACCGAGGTGCGCGTCTGGTCCTCCATGGAGAGCCAGGCGACATCCCACTGGCCGTCCTGGATCCACTGCAAACGCTCCTGGAGGCGTTCTCGTCGCGTCGTCGGGGTCGGGGTCGCGCTCTCGCTGAAGAGCAGCCTGTCCAGAGCCAAGAACACCTTCCACAAACGCGTCAGCGTGCGCGACGCCAGGCCGTCACCGCCCTGGCTGGCCTGCTCGATCGCCAGGCACAGCCGCACCTTCACGCGGCTAACCGCGGCGGCCACGCTGTCAGGGATCATGGCCGCGGTGGGCGCGCCCTGCAGCAGGATGCGGTCCCACCCGATGGTGTCCCACCAATCCAGGTTGGCAAACCGAGTCTCACGGTACGCATCTTCGTCTGCCACGTGGTCGTCCAGGTAGTCATCGTAGACGCCTGCTTCGACCCCGCCGCCGTCGTCCGCGGCCGCGAGGGCGTCAAGGGGCGGCTGTAGGATGTCCGCGGGAGACGGCGCCTCCGCCTCGGCTGCCACCGGGGGAGCCCCACGGGAGCCTGGGCCATGCGCCCCTGGCGCGGCGGCGGCAGGGGGCCTCGGGGCGACCCCAGCACCCCCTGCCGCGCCGTCTCCCTGAGAGGGGGGAGTGGGCACCTGGCCTTCGAACGTCTCCAGCAGGGGCAAGATGGGGCCGCCTCGGGCCTCCAGAGCAGCTGTGAGGCGTTCCCTGTCGCCCTCTGGGAGCTGCGTGTAGCCCTCCATCGCCGTCGCTGGTGGCAAGGGGCCATCCACGCAGGTCATGTGGAACCATTTCTTGCTCGCGTGTGTCTGGGAGCCCACGGGGCGCGTCACGGCGCCTGCCACACGCCACTCGCCCGCCTCGAAGCTTCCCATACAGCGGGTGCAATGGGCTTGCTTGCCGCGGGTCGCCTGGGCGCTGACGCACCAGCGAGTGATACGTCCGCCCGTCATGCGGCGCCGTCGCTGCGCCGGCTGACCTTCACTGTCCCGCATGTGGACGTCGGTGCCGCCGTCCGCTGGGATTTCTGGAACGCTTGCTGCTACTACTACTACTACTACTACTACTACTACTACTACTACTACTACTACTACTACTACTACTACTACTACTACTACTACTACTACGACTACTACTACAAGTACTACTACTACTACTACTACTACTACTACTACTACTACTACTACTACTACTACTACTACTACTACTACTACTACTACTAACTGCTACTACTACTACTACTACTACTACTACTACTACTACTACTACTACTACTACTACTACGACGACGACGACGACTACGGCTACGACTTCGACTACTACCACGACTACTACTACCACTACTACTACTACTACTACTACTACTACTACTACTACTACTACTACTACTACTACTACTACTACTACTTCTGCTACTACTACTACCAGTACTACTGATACTGTCAATGCCCCTACCACTACTAATACGAAGATAAATACAGCATCATCATCATCATCAACATAATCATCAGAATTGACATCAGAATTCGCATCATCATAATCGGCAGCATAGCCGAAATCATCATCGTCACGAGAACCATAATCATCATGATCAAAATCATCAACGTCATCATCATCATCATCAGCAGCATCAGCATCAGCATCATCATCATTATCACTGTTCTAGTCGTGTGCATCGTAATCGTCATCGTCATCGTCATCGTCATCGTCATCATCACCATCACCATCACAATCAGCATCGCCATCGCCATCATCATCATCATCATCATCATCATCATCATCATCAGCATCATCATCATCCTCGTGGTGGTCGTCATCATCGTCATCGTAGTCGACATCATTATCATCATCATCATCATCATCATCATCATCATCATCATCATCATCGTCACGAGGACCATCATCATAATCAAAATCAGCATCATCATCACCACTATCATCATTATAGTCGTCTGCGTCGTAGTTGTCATCGTCGTCGTCATCACCATCACCATCACCATCATCATTATCACCCTCTTGGTAGTCGTCATCATCATCGTAGTCAACCTCATCCTCAGTATCAATTTCGTCATCATCCTCATCATCCGCCGTCCCCAACAGTCCTGCTCCTCCTGTTCGCCTCCTCCATCCTTCTCATACATCCTCCTCATCATCCTCCATCCGTCTCACCTCTCATCCTGCTGCTCCTCCTCCTCCTTATTCTTCTCCTCCTCCATCCCTCTTCCTCATAAATAATTCCACTGGCGCACCCAGACATGTGATTAGGGCGAGCCCAGCGTTTCGCCCCAGATGTCCCCATCATTCACGGTCCTGAAGCTTGAAATTTGCAACAGCCTCAAGTATGGAGGACGGGTTGTGATCTTGCTCTCGCCTTAGCGCCGCGAACAGTAGTCTTAAAGGTTTGCAGCAATTTCAAAGATTGAGGGCGGATCGTGTTCAAAATATGGTTCTGGTCTTAGCACCGCGCTCATTCGTCGTAAAAGATCGCAACAGCTTCAAGGTTGGAGAGCGGGTATTTTGCCAAAATGTCGCTCTCCCCTTAACGCCAAGTTCATTCATCTTCGCAAACATTTGCAACAATTTCAAGCGATTGTATGTTTGAAATTCCAGGAACGGTGTCCTGGCAGGATTCAGGATTGCCAGGACGCAACAGTCATGCTGAGTCGGTGCACTGGAATCCCAGGAATGGCGTTCTGGCATTATTTCAGACTGTCAGGATGCAAGAATCACGTTGATTCGCAGCGTTGAAATGGGCGGAATTGGGCTTTGGCAAGATTGAAGCTTCTCAAATAGATGTCTTTCAATGGGAGAATACCCGCAATGAAAAAATCCACAAGCCAGCTGATTATTTCGTAAATGCGGCGGTGGACACTGTAACATGTTGGTCCTGGATAAACTGGGAAATATTTAGGCACAACAGGTGTGTTGTACGGTTGTGTGCCGCTGGCTGATTCCGTGAGAAAAACCACGGTGAGCATCAGATAGGGTTTGGTTGTGCAACTGTTTCGAGTTTGCCGAGTGGGTCCTACGAACACTTCATACAGACTGGGACGATCTTGCGCGGAATTGCGTCGGCGTCTCAAGCAGAAACTTCGGAACTTCGGTATTCGAGTGGGCCCTGGCAAATTGTTCAATCTTTAGTTGAGTCAAGTATGCACCCAGTGGCAGCAGCGGTCTCCGGCCCTAGGAGTCAGCAAGAGAAGCCGTGCACGGTTGCCTTACAACAGACACCGCATGTGAAAAACATCATGGTATGCACTTGCCCAAAGGAATAAAGACACCACATTATTGTAGGGACCTATGAAAAGGCAACTTGGAGGGAGGTCTCTTGCACACTGGTTCTCCTCTCCTTCCTCTATAATCCTCCCTCCTCCTCCTGCTCTTCGAAATCCTCCTCGCCCTCCTCCGCCTCATTCCTCCTCCTCCCCATCATGCCCCCCCTCGTCCATCTCCGCTGCTCCTCCTCCTCCTGCTGCTCCTCAGCTTCCCGCTCCTCCCACCTTCCCCCCCTCCTCCTGGCCGCGCGCCTTGCGCCTAACGTACTTGCAGGGTGCACCGCAGCTGGTCGGGTGGCCCAGCGTGCCCGCGGACACAAGCGGCTGCAAGCTGCCTCCGTCCCTCGCCTGCACCGGCGGCAAGGCCACGCACCCTCCTCCTCCATCCGCCTCATCCTCCTCCTCCTCCTCCTCCTCCTCCTCCTCCTCCTCTTCCACTTCCGCCTCCTCCTCCTCCTCGTTCTCCTCCTCCTCCTCCTCTTCCTCCTCTTCCTCGACTCCTCCTCCTTCTCCTCGCCCTCCTCCTCCGTTATCCACCTTCATCCTGCTCTTGGTAACCATCCTCGTCCTCCGCCTTGGTTATCCTCTTCCTCCTCCGCCACCTCCATCCTTTCGCCTTGTAAACAGCTCCTCCCTGTCGCGCTACCCATGGTGTCGCTGGGGCGGGCTGGGCGTTTCGCCCGGGACTTCCCCACCGTGTACTTGGATAGCGTGAAGAAAAAGCGCCACAAACAGTAATTTTTGGCGCTCCGCTGGGATTTCTTGGATCTGGGCTGGACCCCCCTCCCTGGCGCGCGGAGCGCCACGGGCGGCGCCAGAGGCGCCGCCCGGGGGCTCAACGTGGGTCCAAGCAATTCGCGCGGAGCGCCAAAAGGTTACGATTGTAGCATTCGGTTATTTCTTCAATTGCTAATGCCCAAATCTTCCAGAAGCGACACAGATGGAGGGACAGTCCGCTTTCAAGAGATGGGGCTCTCGCCCTGGCGCCGCGCACATGAAGAAACCGAACAGTCGCGCGTCCGAGTGGCGAGTCGCCTTCAAAAACGGGGATCTCGCCTCGGCGCCGCGCACGCTCGCCTGAGAACATCAAGCTGTCACAGCGCTGCAGGGATGGAGGGCGGCTCCTTTTCAAATCAGGGCTCTCCACCGCCCCCTCGGACCTGGGCGACACGAACAGATCATCGCCATGCTGCCTCCACTCATGGCGAAAACGCACGACGGGGGGGGGGCCTTTGCACATCCCACCAGCCCTGTCGGGCGTGAGTGTTTTGGCGAGTTTCGTCTTCCAGCCCTCTTCTTTCCCTTCGGGGAGTGGTGTACCCCTCCCCTACCTCCTCCCTCTGGGTCTGAAGGCGGCCTTCCACGAGGTGTCAGAGGGTCTTGTCTGGCCTCGGCGAGGAGGCCGAAATCATTGATTTCACAAAAAGGTTTTGGCCACATAGTGGCCTCCTCAAAAGAGAAAATAGGAGGGGGGAGCTAATTGCGACCTCCCCCTTCTTCGATCGATCCCCTCAAAGATGGCCCCAAGATGCCCCCCAGGCTCCCCAGGGTGCCCCAAGACGGCCCCAAGAGGTGCCCAGGAGGCCCAAAGAGGCCCCCAAGAGGCCCACAAGATGCCCCCAAAATGCTCCCAAGAGACCCCCCAGGTGCCCCAAGAGGCCCCCTCTAGAGGCATCCAGACGCGGGGCCCGTAATCCATGTCAGTGTGTGCCCGCCCCTGAGGGCACGGCTATTGGGGCGAAGCGGGGCAGGGGATGCGGAGGAGGCGTGGGCTGGTGCCGAGCGTGCAGCCTGTAGCTTGGCATCGCTCGGACGCGTGCATTTTTTCTCGGCGAGGGCCATCGAGCAGCGTATTGTCGGGGGAGCGTAAGACCCGGGTTGCTGCGGGGGACGCCCCGAGGCGGCGCCTTTCGATTCCCGTGGTCGCCGAGGTGCGCCATTCTGAACGACGGGAGACAAGCCCCGATCCTAAAATGAGGCCAACGCTGCAGCGGGAGCACCATGTTTGTGGATGGGGCGAAAACGCTTGGGGTCGAGAACGCACAAAGCTGAGGCCAGCTCGCCCACATCCTGCGTGTGAAAAGCAATACGCAGAGGCCCAAAGCGGCCCCCCCGGGCTGCCAAGAGAGAAGACGACCCAAGAAGCCGCCAAGAAGCTCTCGAAAGACATCCGATGAGACTCCAAGAGGTATCGAAGATGCCTCTGGCAATTATGCTCGTCCTCCTCCTCCTCCTCCTCCTCCTCCTCCTCCTCCTCCTCATCATCATCATCATCATCATCATCATCATCATCATCATCATCATCATCATCATCATCATCATCATCATCATCATCATCAATAATCAATCATCATCATCATCATCATCATCATCATCATCATCATCATCATCATCATCATCATCATCATCATCATCATCATCATCATCATCATCATCATCATCATCATCATCATCATCATCATCATATCATCAATCAGCATCATCATCATCATCATCATCATCATCATCAGCATCAGCAGCAGCATCATCATCAGCATCAGCATCATCACCACCACCACCACCACCACCACCACAACCACCATCATCATCATCATCATCAGCATCATCATCATCATCACAATCATCATCATCATCATCATCATCAGCATCATCATCATCAGCATCAGCATCATCAGCATCATCATCATCATCAAAGTCATCATCATCATCAGCTTCATCGTCATCAGCAGCATCAGCATCATCAGCATCATCATCATCAGCATCATCATCACCATCAGCAGAATCATCATCATAATCAGCATCATCACCACACTCATCATCAGCATCATCAGCATCATCAGCAGCATCGTCATCATCAGCATCAGCAGCATCACAATGCATCACCACCACAACCAACAACCACATAATCATACGTATCATCATCATCATCATCATCATCATCATCATCATCATCATCATCATCATCATCCGCACCATCATCAGCAGCAGCATTGTCATCATCAGCATCAATATCCTAATCATCGTCATCACAATCTTCAGTATCACCATCATCATCATCAGCAGCAGCATCAGCATCAGAATCATTGTCAGCATCATCATCATCATCAGCAACATCATCATCATCATCATTATCAGCACCATCAGCATCATAATCGTCATCATCATCAGCATCATCACAAGCATCATCGTCCTTATCATAATACGCATGCTAATGTATGTTTACAAACATATAGATATATATGTATATGTATAAGTATGTTCATGCTCATCTGCATCATCATCTCATGTATAAGTATGTTCAGCATCATCACCACCATCAGCATCATCAGCATCATCATCAGCAGCATCAGCATCGCCATAATTATCAGAATCGTCATCATCAGCAGCATCAGTATCATCATCATTATCAGCATCAGCATCATCATCATCATCATCATGAGCAACATCACCATCATCATCAGCATCAGCAGCATCAGCATCGTCATCATCAGCAGTATCAGAATCAGCATCATCAGCATCATCAGCATCATCAGCATCATCATCATCATCAGCATCAGCATCATCAGCATCATCAGCATCATCATCACCACCACCATCATCATCATCAACCATCATCAGCAGCAGCATCATCATCAGCATCATCATCATCATCGTCATCGTCATCATCATCACCGCCATCATCATAATCATCACCATCGTCATCATCAGCATCATCATCATCCCCCTCCTGGCCCAACAAAAACGCTCGAAGAAGAAACAGCTCTTTGACCTCGAAGCTCGAGCCAAAACCAGACGAGCCCTGTGCCGAGACAGGCCGCACGTGCGCCAGCGCACTGCGCGCGGCAGCGGCGAGGGGAAGGGGGGCCGCTGGGCGTGAGAGGAGCGCGGGGTGTCCCTTCGGGGCCGCCCGTGGGGCCAGCACAGGGGAGACGGGGCCCGAGGAAAACGCGGCGGCGAGCGAAGGGGGGAAGCGAGGAGGAGAGGGCCTTCTCGGAAGGCGGCGGGACTTCGCTCAGAAGACCTCGCGCCTTCTGAGAAGCTCTAGTTGGTCTTCGGGGAAGGCTCAGAAGATTTCTCGGAAGGCTCGGGGGCTTGCGAATCTTCTGGAAAGGCCTTATCCGTCTCACTTCCCCCCCTCGCTCGCCGCCGAAAAACGGGTCCTGGACCAAGGGCTTCACCCCCGCTGGGACCAGCTCTCCACCCCGAGCCGCTTGTCTCGACAGGAGCCCGAGAACAGCAGAAAACCTCATGATCCAAATTCGCCGGCTCTCGCTCTCGCTCTCTCTCTCTCTCCCTCTCTCCCTCTCTCTCTCTCTCTCTCTCTGTCTCTCTCTCTCTCTCTCTTTCTCTCTTTCTCTCTCTCTCTCTCTCTCTCTCTCTCTCTCTCTTTCCATTTCTCAACGGTCTTACCCTGTCCCTGAACGAACGGAAGGCCCCTCACTCTTATCCACAACTGCCCCATGATTTTCCCCTGCGCTCAGCGGACTCTTCGTTGGGCTGCTCTGCTCAGCAACGCTCGGGGGAGGGGGGGGGGGGGGGGGCGAAAAACCGCATGACCCAGTTCCTTCAGGACCCGTCTTCCTCATGCAAACTCGTCGGGTGTTGCTAGAAGTGCCCCTGGCCCAAGGTGCCCCAGGATTCTCAGGGTGGCCCAGACGGGCTCCAGAGCACCCCTCACGAGGCCCAGAGGGCCCGAGCAACTCCAAAATGGAGCGAAAAGCTGGGGGCACCTTGGGCCAGGGGCACTTCCAGCATCAGGTCGGGCATGTCCTCCTACAGGCGGATCTTGGACGAAACACAAAAAATAACCGCATGCCGATGATAATAAAGGGACCCCCCCCTTCAGTGTTTAGAGTTGATTATCGTCGCCCTATACAAAATTCAAATTGGGTGGCGAGCGCTGAGGCCGAACTTCATTATCACCTCGAAACGCTATGTTGATATAGCAACATCAAGCGATGTTGATATAGCAACATCAAGCGAAGCGATCACACTTTTTCAGGATGTGTCAAGCGAAACCAATAATTTTGGGAGGCAGACTCAAACGAAACGAGCAATGTTCTTATTATTATTATACTTTCCTCTTCTTCTTTTATATTTCTATCTGTCCTCACGCTCGCCTGAACTTTTTTATCCCTGGGGTTGATTATCCATGGAAAATGAAGCACATGAGCTACCCTACACGAGCACTTAAAAAAAATCAATGTTCATAAAGCGTTTGTAAATTAAAATTGATAGATTTGGAACTTTGGATTTTTCCTTTCTTCGTCCTCTTCTTATTCTCCTCTTCTTCTTCTTTCTTATTATTCTTCTACTGTATTCTTCTTCTTTTATATTTCTCTCTGTCCCCACGCTCGCCTGAACTTTTTTATCTCTGGGGTTGATTATCCATGGAAATTGAGGCACATGAGCTACCCTACACGAGCACTTACAAAAAAACAATTTTCATGAGAGATAAGCCATTGTTGAGGATATTTCTATGAAAACTAAACGCCAAGGATGTCTCAAAACGTGCTCGGCTTGGTCTCCTCTTGATCATCTCTTACTTCGAAATTATGCTGAGGTCTGCTGGGCTATTATCTCTCCCTGAACCCCGAACTTTATTATCCCCTAGTGTTTATTCTCACGGGCATGAGGTTACTGACAAACAAATACCCCGAACTAGTCGTCAAAGACATTCAAAGAATCGTCCCCCGACGATTTTTGCTACGATTCTTAAATGTTCCTCCTGTAGAAGGACAGGCTGATTCCTCATCCCTCCTCTGCCCTCCTCCTCCTCCCCTCTCCTGGGAGAGGGAGGGGGTGAGGGAGGTGGTGGTGTTGCATATTTCTGGGCCCCGTAAATACTGGACTCGGTTGGAAAATCTTAGATTCGGTCCCTAGCGGTGCACGGCCTGCCTCTGGAGCGCTGCGGCCTTGAATCAGCGACGTCGCCAGGGTTCCCCCCTGGCAACCTCGAGAACCCCCCGTGCCCCGAGAACGTCCACAAGCCTTCGAGGCATCCGAAAGCCTTACACAAAAAAACCTCATGGCGAACCTCGCCCCCGCCAGAGCCAGTCGGCGCTAACCCCCTTTCTGGCGCGCCGAGCACGCCGCCAGGGGCGGCGCCAGAGCACGCCGCCAAGGAGGCCCAGCGCTGATCCGAGAAACCCGCGCGGGGCTCCGACAGTGCTTGACAATGCCGTGTCTATCCCAAAATCCCCCACCACCCCCGGCGCAGCACGTGCGACGCCAGGGGGGGTGCGGCCCGTCTACCCACCTCCCCACCATGGGGAGGGGTGCGAAGTCCCTGTGGATGAGACGAGGTGGGCATCGAAGGGCACCATAAGCCTTTCGCAAGACGAAGGCGTGCACCATAGGCCTACCGCCACCAGTGGAGGTACACCATGTACCATATGTCACCCACCCTACATGGTTCTAAGGTGGCGACATCCGACCCTTACTCCCACCAACCATCGCTTCTCCTGTAAATTGATGGGAGGCGGGAATAGGCTTCGGATTTCGCCGCGTGTTCGACGAATTCCGAACCCTACACCCCCCGCCCATCGAGTTGCTTGAATCGTTGATCGGCGAGGGTCGGGTGCGGATCTCGCCGCCGAATTCAACACTCATTGAATTTTTCATTCAATTTGGAGGAGGCCGGGCGGTCTGAACAGGGGGGATGAGACCAAATCCGCTCGAAATTGGTCCCTGGACCCCTCCTGGTGTCCATCTGGAACAGTTTTTCACCCCGGAGCAGTTTCGGACGGTCCCGGGGCCCGAAAACGGCCCCCCAGAGGCCGAAAAAGGCAAAGAACAGTTTCCGGGGGCCGCGGGGGGACCAAACACAAGCGCGCGAGGCGCTACTACTGCATCGCGCTCGGCGACCTGAGAACCCACCTGTGCCCGCACCACAACGGCACTCCGGCGAAAGGTCACTCCTACGCGTAGCCGAACCTTTCTCCGAGGCTCGGCGGCGAGCGAGGGGGGGGAGTCAAAAGGGGCGGGCCTTCTCAGAAGGCTCCGAGGTCCCCGGGCCTTCCGAGAAGTTTTCGGAGCCTTCCCCGAAGACGCCAAAAGCTTCTCTCAGAAGGCGCGAGGGCTTATGAGAGAAGTCCCACCGCCGTCTGAGAAGGCCCTCTCCTCCTCACTTCCTTCGCTCGCCGCCGAGTTTTCCTCGGGCCCCGTCTCCCCTTGCTGGCCCCACGGGCGGCCCCGAAGAGGCACCCCGCGCTCCTCTCACGCCCAGCGGCCTCCCTTCCCTCGCCGCTGTCTCGCGCAATGAGCCCGGGGCGCGCGTGCTGCTTGTCTCGGCACAGGGCTCGTCTGATTTGGGCTCGAGGTTCGAGGTCCAAGAGCTGGTTTTTCTTCGAGCGTTGTTTGGGGCAGGAGGGGGATGAAGATGATGATGATGATGATGATGATGATGATGATGATGATGATGATGATGATGATGATGATGATGATGATGATGATGATGATGATGATGCTGATGCTGATGCTGATGCTGATGCTGATGCTGCTGTGCTGATGCTGATGATTGATGCTGATGCTGATGCTGATGCTGATGATGACGGTGATGGTGATGCTGATGATGATGATAATGATGATGGTGACGATGATGGTGGTGATGATGATGGTGATGCTGATGCTGATGCTGATGATGATGATGATGATGGTGGATAGTGACGATGTGATGATGATGATGATGATGATGATGGTGATGATGGTGATGTGATGATGATAATGATGGTGATGATGATGCTGATGCTGATGCTGATGCTGATGCTGATGCTGATGATGATGATGATGATGATGATGATGATGATGATGATGATGATGATGCTGGTGATGGTGATGATGGTTCGAGGTCCCATCCGCTCACCTCCTGAGAGGCGCATCGGAGCCGACCCGCGCCCGGCCCGGCGGCCTTCTCCAGCAGCTCTGCGCCCTCCCGCGCTGGCGCGGGGCGCGCCGGAGCCGCGGCAGGCGCGCACCCCGGGCCGAGCGGCCGGGCGAGCGCGGGCGGCTGGGAGCCGCGCCTGCTCTTCGCCCTGCCTCGAAGGCTCGGCGCCGTGGCCCACCCCGTCGAAAACCGACAGGCGTCAACAGCCTCTCGTTCTCCCCCACCTCCTCCTCCTCCTCCTCCTCCTCCTCCTCCTCCTCCTCCTCCTCCTCCTCCTCCTCCTCCTTGTGAGAATCACGACGGGAAGTGCCTGCCCATGTTCGGCCTCCACGCTGTGCAAAATTCGTTCGCCCCACCCTCCCCTCCCTTACGGTCAAGAAAATGAAGGCTCATTTAAAGGTAGATGAAGCGGTGGACGGCCGTGACCTTTCCCTGCGTTTATGCAATGGATATGTCGATGCGTCTGCCAAACTTGCTGCGTCGTCGCACCCTTCGACGTCATCGGAAGAGCTCGAGCGTCTAGACAGACAGCTTGCTGTTGCCAGGGCCGTGGGGGTTGTAACTGCTCACCTTCTGCATCTTTGGCCTTCCCTCCACTTGGGTCCCGAGATTGTCAGAGAGCGGGAACCGGTCCCAAGCCAAAAGCACGTGCGCCCACATGTCTGCAGCAGACTGGCTCGTTTTGGAAGTATAAACTTGCATTGTTGTTTGCAAATCCTGAATGTGGCCCCATTGGCACCAGGTTCCCACCGGCCCCAGGCATGTGTTCGGGCAGGTCCAAGCTCGACGTGAACCTCTTGATGGCTCGCCAGCACAAGTGTATTGCAATATCTTGCTCGCCATCGTATACGCTGGTGGTCTGCCTTCTACGTAAAGCGTACTGTTGTCATGATCGGGCTAAGAATGTGTTATGACTCACTGTAACCAGCGTCCGCGGAGCTCGGGGGCTAAGTATGCTTGGTCCCAGATCTGTCGAGGCGTGCAACCCAAGCTTCGCCACATCACGGTTGAGCGAGGCCCTTGGAATGAAGTGGCCAGTCTCGAGAGTTGACCCCCCGAGCGCTGTCATGCTGCACCCTCGCCAGACTAGTGGAGGCCCAGGCTATCCCCCCGACTTGGAAGCGGAGCACAAAGCGGCGTGTTTCCTCCACGCCAGATTCTCCTCCTCCCCTACCCCTGGAGTGGAGGCTTCGGGTGGGGCCCCGATGCAGCCTATCTCGTCCTCGTCCGCCGCCGAGCTGTCGTTCGTCGTGCCACAGGAGCTAGGCGTTTTGAGGCAGGTGGTGGATAGACTCGGGAGGGAGGACGGCGAGGCATCGCTAGTGGCCCCGTCCTTCCCACTCGCTGCCAGTACCGAGCTGTAAAGCGACTAGGACCAGCGTGCACTCTCTCAGCGGACATGAGCAGCGCTAACTTTGGCGCGCCTGGAGGTTGCTCCCGAGGCCTTGCTCCAACTGCTTGTTTGTCTTCTGCGTGCCCCTCTAGGCACGTGGGCTCGTGTTGCACGTGGTGTTTCATCCATGGGCGGTATTGTGCAACCTGCCAGTCGTCTTTCTGGCCGCGCGAGCGACTGCTCAGCTTGTGGCGAGGACGACGCTATACAGGCCTCCTTTTTCCTTTCCTCCTCTTGCGTGCCTCCCTCTGTGGAGGTCGCGCCTGCCAGGCGGGCCTGGCCACCCTTGCCACGGCCAGTCGGCTGCACATGGCACCGCCCTTGCGGGAGGCGCGCCAGGCGGCTTCTCTTGTGGCCCGTGCGCGTTTGCATGGGCCTTCAGGTTTCCCCGAACTGCCCGCGTAAGGTCGGTGTCCTGGCTCCGTCTGATCCTGGCCTCCTGGGTTGTCACCGCCGCGGTCGGGTCCACACGCGACGCACGTCCTTGCGTCTTATGACACGCTCACTCCTGTTCTCCTCGGCGAAACCGTCGCGGAGTGGCCCCTTTCTCCCTCGGAGGGGCCTGAGGAGCATCAGAGGTGAAGTGGCTTGTAGCGGTCAAGAAAAAACATGTTCCTCCTCTTCCGCCTCCTTATCCTGCCACTGTCGCTGATGGCATCAGATCCGAATATCGTGCTGTCCAACACCCCCAGCGGACATCACCGCTGGAGGGAAGGGAGAAGCGCAAAAAGGAAGAGGTGGCCACGCCCCCTGGGCGCTTTCTGCGCTCGTTTGCGCTCATCGACGTCGTCGTCGTCGTCGTCGTCCTCGTCCTCGTCCTCGTCCTCGTCCTCGTCTACGTCCTCCTCCTCCTCCTTCTCCTCCTCCTCCACCTCCTCCTCCTCCTCCTCGAACGTATCCTCCTCCTCCTCCTCCTCCTCCTCCTCCTCCTCCTCCTCCTCCTCCTCCTCCTCCTCCTCCTCCTACTGTTCCTCCTCCTCCTCATCCTCCTGTCGCTGTCGTTGATGGCATTAAACCCGAATACGATCCTTCCAACGCCCCGGCGGGCATCGCAAGTGGGGGGGTGCGCAAGAAAGGAAAGAAGAAGGAAGGTGGCCCCCGCCACATAGGCGCCGCCTGCGCTCGTCTGCGCTCGTCGTCGTCGTCATGCTCCTCCTCCTCCTCCTCGCCTCCTCCTCCTCCTCCTCCTCCTCCTCCTCCTCCTCTTCCTCCCTCTGCTCCTCATTGTATTAGTGGTACATCGTAGTAGTAGTAGTAGTAGTAGTTGTTGTTGTTGTTGTAGTAGTAGTGGCAGTAGTAGTAGTAGTAGTAGTAGTAGTAGTAGTAGTAGTAGTAGTAGTAGTAGTAGTAGTAGAAAAAAAAAAAGAGAAAATTAAACAAAAAAAAAGAAGAGAAAAAAAGTGAGATAGTAGTCGTATAGTAGTAAGTAAAAGTAGTAAGTAGTAAGTAGTAGTATTATAGTAGTAGTAAGTAAGTGGGGTAGTAGTAGTAGTAGTAGTAGTAAGTAGTATAAAGTAGTAGAAGTAGTCGTAGTGTATTAGTAGTAGTCGTCGTCGTCGTCGTCTCGTCGTCGTCGACGTCGTCGTCGTCGACGTCGTCGTCGTCGTCGTCGTCCGGCGTAGTAAGTAGTATAGTAGTAGTATTTGCGCGAGTAGTAGATTAACGCGTACTCAAACAAAAAGGGTCGTAAGTAAGTAGCAGTAGCAGATAGCAGTAGCAGTAGCAGAAAGCAGTAGCAGTACAGATAGCAGACAGTAGCATAGCAGTAAGCAGTAGCAGTAGCAGTAGGCAGAAAGCAGTACAGTAGCAGTACAGTAGCAGTATCAGTAGCAGTTAAGCAGAAGTAGTAGTAAGTAGTAGTAGTCGTAGTCGTAGTAGTGGTAGTAGTAGTAGTAGTAGTAGTAGTAGTAGTAGGAACAGTAGTAGTAGTAGTAGTAGTAGTAGTAGTAGGAGTAGTCGCAGTAGTAGTAGAGGTGGTAGTAGTAGTCAGTAGTAGTAGTAGTAGTAGTAGTAGTAGTAGTAGTAGTAGTAGTAGTAGTAGTAGTAGTAGTAGTAGTAGTAGTAGTAGTAGTAGTAGTAGTAGTAGTAGTAGTAGTAGTAGTAGTAGTAGTAGTAGTAGTAGTAGTAGTCGTAGTCGTAGTCGTAGTCGTAGTCGTAGTCGTAGTCTTAGTCGTAGTCGTAGTCGT